ACCACCGCGACCACTACCACCACCTCCACCACCGCTACCACCACCATCGCTATCGCCACCACCATCGTCACCGTCCCCGCCACCACCATCGCCACCACCGCCGCCACCACTACTGCCAGCACCACCACCCCCACCACCACCCCCACCACCTCCACCACCGTTACCGCCACTACCTCCACCAACGCCATTGCTACCACCACCACCACTACTGCCACCACATCCACCACTGCTACTTCCACCATCGCTACCACCACCATCGCTATCGCCACCACCGTCACCGCCACCACCATCGTCACCGTCATCGCCACCACTACTGCCACCACCTCCACCACCACCCCCACCACCACCCCCACCACCTCCACCATCGTCACCGCCACCACCTCCTCTCGGCGATGGTCTTCAATTTCGCCCACCAACCCCCGTCAGGTGCTAAACTCAACCCCGCGATCTTTGCGACAGTTTTCATTAAAAGTAGCACTCTTTTGACCGATCCTAGCCTTTGGGTATATCTTGATTTATACATTGCTTTCATGTCTATTAATATATATTAATTTTAAAACAAAAACTGCAACCACCGCGCAATTGTGTCACCGACAGCAGAGGCGAGGCGATCGGCATGGCAGCGAGTGTACAAATCACTCCGCAGCTGTCAAAATCAACCCCTCTGTCGGAATATTTTACACCGTGCGCTACACAAGCATCTGCCACCATCACATCCAATGGCTGGACGGATGCGTCCTCCAGAGTCACGTTCTTCTCGATGTGAAAATCCACCGAAGATTGCTGATTTGATCGCTCCATCTCTCGGCGGCGTACGTCCTCTCTCCCGTGATGTCCCCCCTCCATTCGCTGCCACTCCGTAGCGAATCGCACCTCCGATTAGCATGGTTGGCTACGTACGGTACGTAAGAAGTTCAACATCCAGGGACTCCTCTATGTACGAACATTCGACTTACGTACTATTAGAGATACGAACAAACCTGACGTATGTCCAGTTGCCTGTACAGACCGAGTGTGGTAAGTTCAACCGCCACGCAATAGCTGACGGTGCTGGCATCTACATCTGCAGAACATGAAGAACCAGTGGCATCTACACGCAATTAAACAACTTTTAAAGCAATTCCCCCGTTTGTAGTGAACACGCCGTACAAGATATTTGCAATCGACAGGAACAATTCGACTTACGAACAGACCTCTGGAACCTAACTCGTTCGTAAGTAGAGGAGTCCCAGTACATACGCACATGAATCTAGACCGTAATCCATCATCTCTTCTCGTCATGGCCAAACCCTACTTCCTTTTTTAAAATCTCACTTTAATGCACTTTATTTTAAGTGTTGTTTTTACATTTGACATTTATGGTGACGCAAGCCATCGCTCTTGGCGAACGAGACTCTATTCTTGACGAACTATTCTTGCCGAACTATTATTGCCGAACTTGACTCTCTGTTCGAGACTCAACTCGAGTCTCTTCGAGACTCTTGCCAAACGCGATGCACTATTCCTGGTCTCTTGAGTTGTCCTCTTGGTTCAACGCAACGGAGCTGTACGACTGGGCAATTCTCAGCTGGTCAAACTCCCCGTGTGGGGTGTGGGGTGTGTGGGGGGGTCACAGTCTATAAAAGATTCGGATTTAAATTTTAGTTTGTTTGCTCTGATTTGCAATTGTTTTTCCACTCGTGCAAATCGACGTCACGTCGTGTTTATAATTAAGGAGTCACCCTTTTCAGACAACAACAACAACAGCAGCCGCCAGTCTGTTAAAGGTGATATTTAACACGTTATTTAGTAGATACAGGAGAAAACATCGACACACTGAGTTATAGGGCTCGTTATCACGAGAACGCTGCCTGCTGCTGCTGCAACAATGAGTTGTTCATTCATTTTGAAAATGTTTCCAGCCAATGAACGACGACGAGTCGCGTCTATTATTCGCGTGATGGTGTCGGGAAACCTGAGCACCCGGAGAAAAAAAACCCACGCCATTGCGCGAGGGAGCAACGCTCGATCCCCCCGTACAGATGGAATACACAGATGGGGGTGAGTCCACAATTGCTGTACCGCCTCCTCTTGGCGAGCCCGGACTACCCGGCATCTTCTCCGCTCTCACGGCAGAAGGGAGTTGTACAACATTCGAGTGATGATCCATCAACCCTCCCTGCTGCTGCTGCTGCTGTCACTGCCTTCAGAGCGCAGTGTCGCAGGCGCCCTGTGGACCTTTGTCTTCGTAAAGGTGAGGCCAGTGCGTCGTTAACAAAATCAATCATTAACACTGGTGTGACCGCAGATTCAAATATAGAACACACACGTACAGCGCGCACTTTGAAACATACACACACACCCTCCCACGCACACACACACAGATACAAACAACAAAGACAAAGATCCCCCGTATAGCCTTTAACTGACGTTCGGGGCAAGTGCTGTTAGCCAGCACCTATGAAGGTCGCAAATGGCACACACGGGGGTGGGTGGGCCAGCATCACGCCCGGCCGCCTTTGTCTCCCCAGTGGCGATGTTTACACATTACACCAGTTGCTCATTTGAGGCTGGGGAAGCCCAGGATCGGTTCAAATAATCGTCACTGGTGTTGGCCGTGAGCGGGAATCGAACTGCGGCCGTGGGGTTCGTAGCGCAGCGCGCTAACCACTGCACCACAGCTCACACACACGCATAGTCACACTCACAATTGGCAGATTTCAAAGGTCAAAAACTGTGCTGCGTTGGTCGCGTTTCCGCCCATCAATTAGACGGGCGCTGTCTCAACAGCAGCAGCAGCAACAACAGCAGCAGCAGCAACAACAGCTGCATCGGTAACAGCAACACCAACGAAGAGTACAGTAGTTGTAACAACAGCAGTTTCAGCAACATTAGCATCAGCAGCAACAGCGTAATGACGATCAGCTGTCAGTAAAACACCAGCAGCATTAACAGCAACAGCAGGAAGAGCAGCAGCAGCACTAACAGCAGCAGTAGTAGCAGCAGCATTAACAGCAGCAGTAGTAGCACTAACAGCATCATTAACAGCAGCAGTAGCAGCAGCAGTAGCTTTAACAGCAGCAGCAGCATTAACAATAGCAGCAGCATTAACAGCAGCAGTAGTAGCATTAACAGCAGCAGTAGTAGCAGCAGTAGTAGCAGCAGCATTAGCTTTAACAGCAGCAGCAGCATTAACAATAGCAGCAGCAGCATTAACAGCAGCAGCAGCATTAACAGCAGCAGTAGCAGCAGCAGTAGTAGCAGCAGCAGTAGCAGCAGCAGTAGCTTTAACAGTAGCAGCAGCATTAACAATAGCAGCAGCAGCATTAACAGCAGCAGCAGCAGAATTAACAGCAGCAGTAGTAGCAGCAGTAGTAGCAGCAGCATTAGCAGCAGCAGCATTAGCAGCAGCAGCATTAACAGCAGCAGTAGTAGCAGCATTAACAGCAGCATTAACAATAGCAGCAGCATTAACAGCAGCAGTAGTAGCAGCAGTAGCAGCAGCAGCAGTAGCAGCAGTAGCAGCATTAGCAGTAGCACCACTAACAGCACTAACAGCAGCAGTAACAGCAGCATTAACAGCAGCAGTAGCAGCAACATTAGCAGCAGCAGCGGCAGTAGTGTCAACAGCAGGAAGAGCGTCAACATCAGCAGCGTTCACAACGGGAGCAGCAGCGTCAGGATCCGAGCGAACCGGTCTGACGAGCTTGGCATGTGTGTTGTGTGTGTGTCTGTGTGTTGTGTGTGTGTCTGTGTTGTGTGTGTGTGTCAAGGTGGGCGAGTGGGAGCGCACTGACGCATCACAGAGGGGCTTCCTGTCGCAGTTGAACACGCGGCACGGACTCCGTGCGGATTGTTCCGGGACGCCGGGCGCGGATTAAAGAGGCAGCACCAGTCGAGAAGTAGGGAATCGAGCCTGCTCTGTGTGTGTGTGTGGAACCGGTCCTTGGCGTCCCCTAGGTCGACTCGGCCTTTAAAACGAGTACCTGGCGCGGTGTGTAAAGTAGCGCCGCTGGGCAGACAAAGACGGAATGGTCGTGGTTCTGGCAAACACTGAACTCTCAACCCGTGTGCCGTGTTGGCCTTCGTAGGTGCTCGCTCACAGAACTTGCCCCAGCAGTCTGGTCAGGGCTACATGGAGGGGAGATCTGTGTATTTTATTTGTGAATGGGTTAAAGTGTTTGCGTAAAAGGTGGGTGTATGTGTAAGAATGCATGTGATTGTACGTGTCGGTGAGCGTGTTTGCCTTTGGGAGTGACTGTGTGCGCGTGTGTGTGTGGTTTGCGACCTTCAATAGGTGCTCGCTAACAGCACTTGTCCCAAAAGTCTGTTAAAGGCTACGCGGGAGATCTTTGTCTTTGTGTTGCCCCGTGATCTCCTGCCAGCGAGCCTTCGACACTTCACGTGGCCTCAAGGTGCACATAGCCTGGCACAAGCGCCGTGGTAGCGTCACAACTACTTAGTGGCGAATACCGGTTGTTGTTGTCTGCGTGTCCACACATGGTGCGGTGTGTACACGTCACCATTGGGGAGACACAGGCGGCCGGGCGGAGTGTTGGCCACCTATTTCCCCACGTGTGCCGTTCCGGTCTTCATAAGTGCTACTCGCAAACAGGACTTGCACCAAAGGTGCGAGTGCGTCGTTGGGTTTGATATTTTTTCCGTGGTTTAGTGGTGATTTATTCTTGGTTCTTTCGGTAAAGTCACATAGAAGGGAAGTAATAAAATAATTAAAATAAAACATAATACTTTTTTTCCCCCTTCTACGTGACTTTACCGAAAGAACCAAGAATATGAATCCATGCAGTCACGAAAGCTTTAAATCGAAACTTAGTGGTGATTTATTTGAAGGTGGAAGGGGTTACCAAGCCCCGCGCACCCGTCCAGAGCCCCCTTTGGCCGCTGTGGTGGCTACAAACGCCATGAGGGCAATGGCCAATCGTAATGGGTCCCCCCCTCCCCCCCATGGCGCTGCTCACCACAGCGTTACCGTCCGGCACCAACGAGGAGGTTGGGGATTGTTTTGCTGGACAAGGTCCCATCGGTGAGCTCCCCCGGCAGGCAAGGCTGCGTTGGCTGGGTCACGTAGCCCGCGTGCCAAGCCACCGCATGCCTAAACAGCTTTTGTTCGGCCGGATCGAGGGGGCTAAACGGGCGCGGCACGGGCTAGAGAAGAGATGGAGTGATGTGGTACAGGAGGACGAGGAGCTGAGTGGACTTGCTGATGACTGGTACCAGCGGTGTCAAGATCCGCCTCTGTGGAGGAGGCTCGTGAAGGACGCTACTGGGCAGTTGGAGGCAGTCGCCCTCCAACAACAACGGAGGGCGGAGGAGCGACGCTCACAACAACGAGCGAAGCGCCGGGTGGCTAAAGCACAGTAAGTTGGCAAAGTAGGGGGCACAGGTGGCGCATCAGCCATTCATCTCAGTCGTCTCAGTTAGTCGACCCGTGGCACCTGGGTTTGCCCCGTGACCTCCTGCCAGCGGGCGTTCGACACTCCACATGGCCTCAACGTGCACCTAGCCTGGCACAAGCGCCGTGGTGACGTCACCGCCACTTAGTGGCGAATGGCGCTTGTTGTCGTTGCGTGAGTGTACGCGTGAGTTCGCGTGCGTCCTTGCGTTCCCTCTTCCCTTGTGTTTAGCTCCGCGCGCGAGAGCGTTAGTGCACACGTGCGTGAGTGTACATCATCGGTGACGACAACAACAACAACAAAACAACCCGTTCCTGATCCTCGCCTAGATCGACTCGGCCTTAAATGCGGTGTGTAAACATCCGCACCGCAGGGGAGGCACAGTTTTAGCCGGGCGTGGTGCCCGGCCACAACCACTTCCGTCTGGCACTCGCAATCATTGATAGGCGCTCAGTGATAGTGACAGCACCTGCCCCGGTGGTCGACACAACTGTCCAGGTGATCTTTGTTGAGCGAGAGTGATCGGTGTCTGCCGCGTGCGCGTAGGAATACGAGTGCGTGCTTGCCTTTGTCGCGTGTTGGTTCGATTGCCACCCCCCCCACACCCCCATTAGTGGAGGTCTCAGTCTGCGTGAGTACGTCTCTTACCCGTGTAAGAGCGTGCGGTGTGAGACATCGGTGCTCGCTAACAGCCTATACGGGGGGGGGGGGGGGGGGTCTTCGCCTTTGTTATTGATAGTCGGTGCTTGTTAACAACACATTCCCCAATAGGCTGTTAAAGTGCTATACGGGGGAATCTTTGTCTGTGCGATGTTGAATTGGTGTATTGCTTGTGTGTGTGGTTATTCCAATGTGCGGGGAGCGGTAGTGTAGCGGTTAGCGCGCTGCGCTATGAACCTGGCGACCCGGGTTCGATTCCCGCTCACGGCCAACACCAGTGACGATTATCTGAACCGGTCCTGGGCCTCCCCTAGGTCGACTCAGCCTTAAATGAGTACCTGGTGCGGTGTGTAGACATTGCCAATGGGGAGACAAAGGCGGTAGGGCGTGGTGCTGGCCACCCACCGCCTCGTGTACCGTTCCGGCCTTCATAGGTACTCGCTAACAGCACTTGCCACTACAGTCTGTTAAGGCTATACGGGGGATCCTTATCTTTATTCCAATGTGTGTCTGTGTGTCTGTGTGTCTGTGTTATGCGGTAGTGTAGTGGTTAGCGCGCTGCATTACAAACCTGGCGAACCGGGTTCGATTCCCGCTCACGGCCAACACCAGTGACGATTATCTGAAGCGTTCATGGGCCTCCCCTAAGTCGACTCAGCCTCAAATGAGTACCCGGTACGATGTGTGAACATCGCCACTAGGGAGACAAAGGCGGCCGGGCGTGGTGTTGGCCACCCACTCGTGTGCCGTGCCGGCCTTCATAGGTGCTCGCTAACAGCACTTGCCCCTACTGTCTGTTAAGGCTATACGGGGGATCTTTGTCTTTGTATTTTTGTGTAAACCTCTACACTGGAGAGACAAAGGCGGCCGGACGTGGTGATTGCCACACCAACCCTTTGTGCGCCTTAATAGGTTATCGTTAACAACATTTTCCCCAACAATCTGTGTAGGCTATACGGACGATATTTTTCGTCGCTGGTACGGTTTCTGTGTGATTGTGTGTGTCTATGAGATGAGTGTGAGAGTGAGAGTGACAGAGTCTGAGTGAATCTGTGTTAATGCGCGCGTGTGTAAAGGTGAGACTCTCTCTGTGTTACGTGAGTGGCCTTAATAGGTGCTCGCTAATTCTAACTTGCCCCAACGGATATATAAGCTATACGGGTGATCTTTATCAATGTATTTGTGTGAACGAGTAACCGTTAGAAATGAGTTTTTTAAATTAATATTTAGATATTGGTCGCACATTTTGGAAGCAATTTAATTTGTTTTTGTAAATCTATTGCAGTGGAATAACTTGCCTCCGAAACGTCGTGAATTTATTGTTTTTATTTTTTATTAATTTTAATTTCATTTTTTACCTACGTGACTTTACCGAAAGAACTAAGAGTATGAATCCTGGCAGTCACGAAAGCTTCCAATCTAAAATGGAATAACTTTGCTTATGCAGTACATGTAATAATTTTAATGTAAAATATTAGCTGTTTTTTTTGTAACATCAAGTTTCGTCGATTGCTTTTCCATGTTAATCCTTTAAAGTGACGTCACCCATCGCCAAATTTCCATCACGTGACCGCGCTCTCAGTCGAGGAAAAGCAACGACGCAACGTGGCTGTGACGTCACTCACTGTGAGGTCACACTTTAGAATTCACCGAAAGCGAAAAATGTAACATTCGGAAAGCCCCAAACCTCTCACCCACACACACATTTCGATTATAGCAATTCCTCGTTTAACGCGCAAGATGCGTTCCTGAAAAGTGAGGAATTGCTGAGTTACTTAATCGCATTTGTGCTCTAAACTCAGCCGTGCAGTCACCACATGGCGTGCCGTATCATTGCGCTCAGCCGTGCAGCTCAAGAAAGCGTTACAACAGTGCGTGCAGTCTGCATTGTGCAAAAAAGTGTTCCCTGATGGAAGAACAACGGTGAGCAAAAACGCGCTGTGTGAACACGCGTTAAGCGAGCACTTGCCGTGTTTGTTTGTATTAATAAGTATAACCCGTAAAAACAAAGTTTTTCACTATAAACCCTTTATATGCGTGGCGGCTAGAGTCCTCTCGTCCTCTGGCTTGAGATGGCTGCCACCTATGGGTCAGATGATTGTCTGGCAGCATTAAGCAATTGGTAATTAAATATTTAATATTTTTTCCCTAACAGTGTAAAATTTTGGAAAAAAATTTCACGAAAATAAATTGTCACGCACAACGAGTCTGTGTGCAAAATGTCAGCTCGATTGGATCACGGGAAGTGGGTTAAAAAACGACCGAAAGATTTGCACGGTCGTAAGCAAGCACGCAAGCACGCAAGCAAGTGAACTTAATATAAAGGATTTAAAAAGAAAATCACAAACCCACCCCCAGTGGTCACATACATCACGCAAGTCTATGTCGTGACGTTTCCCGTCTAAATAAGTGATTTCCTGCTCATATGAGCAATGATGATGAAGTGTGCACCACCTGCTTTTAGCCCTGCAGGATAAACAGTGGACATTCCACGTTCCAGTGGCGGGGGCGAGTCAACACATATGATAATCGACTTCACCACAAAGTGGTACTGATTTTTTTCGACGCCCGATGGATGATGATGATGATGGGCCGAGTCAACCCCGAACCAGGATTTGAACTCGTGACCTTCTGATTGCTGTGAGCCAGCCTCTCTCTCTCTCTTCTAGATTTGAAGCTTTCGTGACTGCAAGGATTCATATTCTAAGGTTTTCGGTAAAGTCACGTAGGTAAAAAATTTAAATTAAAAAAAGCCAAATAAAAATAAAATAAAAATCACGACGTTTCGGAGGCAACACAAGCTTCCGTCTTCAGGTGGAATCGTCACAGCACGATAGCTGTATCAAGTTAGAGAAATTCCAAGAAAACAGTCCTTGTACATATACTGGTTGAGGGTGGGAGGAGCCAAGGTAGGCCCTGAATATAATTTTTGTGAGGTTCGTTGCGGCTGAAACACGCTGTTAGGAATGAGCCTTTGTTGTGTAAACTAGGTGCGGCTGATGTAAATGTGCGTGTAAATAGGACTGCGCCTTTTGTTATGTAGAGGTGGTGCGGCTGAAACCCTGCCAGGAATGAGTCTTTGTTGTGTAGTAAAGTCACATACGAGACTTTACCGAAAACCTTAGAATATGGACTCTCTCTCTGTCGCCTAGCGACCTGGCCAGGTATCTGTGTAGGCTGTGCGGGAGGTGTTGGTTTCAAGAGTGAGCGAATTTGTGGTCACCAAGATGACAATCAAAATCTATTTTTTTTAATCGGTATCTATTTAAATACAATGCACAGCAGTGAAGGAAAGAGAAATCAGGGCGAAATCAACTGCATCGCGAGAAATATGAAAATATATTTGCACAAAAAAATGTAATATGAAATTCGTTTCATGCTCCTCATCGTACAAATACCCTGCCTTAAACACAACGTATATGAAATCCGACGTTTCGGGCAATGGCCCTTCTTCATAACGCATACATAGCTATACCAGAGAGATAATGAGGGCTTCTAATGATGTGCTATGAAAAAGGGCCATTGCCCAAAACGTTGCGTATGAAATACTTTTTCTTTTGAAGGCTGTTATTGATGTACATATTCTCGCGTGTTTGTGTGTGGCCTGCGCACCAGTTGGCAACGCAGCGTCGCCAAATCGTCGCGTAACGACAATCAAGCCACGTAAACATTAAACACACATCGGGTGACTATTGTACTAACATGTAACCAGGCAAGGGCGTCACATACTCGTGTGTACGTGTGTGCGAGTGATTCGTCCGTCCGTCCATCCGTATCGGAGCGGTGGCGCAGCGATTAGCGCACTGTGCTGCGAACCCGGCGACCCCGAGTTCGATTCCCGGACCAACAACCGTGGCGAATATCTGAACCGCTCCCTGTGCCTCCCCTAAGTCAACTCGGCCTCAAATGAGTACCCGGTGTCACGTGTAAACATCAGCATCGGGGAGACAAAGGCGGCCGGCCGGCCGGTCGTGTTGCCGGCCACCCACCTCCTCGTGTGCCGTGTCCGGCCTTCATTAGGTGCTGCTCGCGAACAGCACTTGCCCCAACAGTCCATTGAGGCTATCCGGGGGGAGCAGGGATGGAGATCTTTGCATTTGTTTGCACACCCATTTTCCCTCCTTATCCCCAAACAGTGGCGCCTGCGGAGCTCCCGGCATGGGAACATGGATCTCGACGCCGCGAGTAGCCAAGTCCACCGCTCCGCCCGTGACGGCGGGGTACGGGTGGGTCGGCGCGAGATGATCGACTGGAGTTGCCTGAGCGAGGAGGAGAGGGAATCCATCCGGCGGGTCCTGGAACGCGACGCCAAACTGCGGCAGAGGGAGTCCAGCCGACTCAGGTGACGACAACGACAGCGACTATGAATTAGATCGTAAAATCACTCGTACAATGGTTTATTATACATCCATAATGCAAATGGTTAATATTTCATGAATGGCGCTGACACGGCTTCTGTCATAGAGAGACTCAAGGTTTCGATTTAAAGCTTTCGTGACTGCAGGGATTCATCTTCTTGGTTCTTTCGGTAAAGTCATTTCAGACTCTGTCTCCTTGACAGACCTGTTCTTCACCTGAAGACGGCTGCTTGCGTTGTGGCCGAAACGTCGTGAGAATTATTTTATGATGTTTTATTTTTATTATTTTATTATTTTCCTTCTACGTGACTTTACCGAAATAACCAAGAAGAAGACTCAAGGTTGCTTTGCATCAGTGGCATTGTGGGGGAGTCGATTCCTATTCACGGCCAACACCGGTGACGATTATCTGAACCGGTCCTGGGCCTCCCCTAGGTCGACTCAGCCTCAAATGAGTACCTGATGCGGCCGGGCGTGGTGTTGGCCACCCACCTCCTTCGCGTGCCGTGCCGGCCTTCGTCGGTGCTACTCGCTGACAGCACTTGCCCTAACGCACCTGTTAAGGCTACACGGGCGCTCTTTGTTTGTGTGTGCTTGTGTGCAAACGTAGTAGTATTCCTTACGTCGGCGTAACGTCACGTGAGTTCACCGTCTTCTGGTGGGGGAAAAACAAAAATCTGCGGCGTTTCTGCTGCGAACATCGCCGGGGAACTTTGCCCGGCAAAAAAAGTAAACACCCCACGAATGTTGTCTTCAAAGAGAGCGGAGAGGAACGCTGAGGTCATTCATCAGTCGCGGTCTCTCTCTTAGACAAAATTCGTAAATGTCCACGCCTCAGGTCGTCCTCCGGCTTGTCGCTGTGAACAGTTTGGGAGACGGATTCGTGAGCGGCGTCTCGCGACGCCAGATCGTGTTGCTTGTGATTCAACGTCGTAGCCCGCGGCACACACCACGACCACCACAAGAAAGGGGAGTAGAGTCCAGGATGTAATGAGTGGTGGGGGGCGGGGGGAGCATGAGGAAGGACATGCCGAGGGAATCATACTCTTAGTTCTTTCGGTAAAGTCACGTAGGTAAAAAATGAAAATGAAATTGAAATTATTAACAATAAAAATAATTTTTTTCTTTTTTCATTTCAATTTCATTTTTTACCTACGTGACTTTACCGAAAGAACTAAGAGTATGAATCCTTGCGGTCAAGAAAGCTTCAAATCTAGAATGCAGAGGGAAGGCCACTCTTGCCTTGCTGTCCATTTCTTTGACGTTTCTTGAGCCAGCTGGGCCAGGGATTGGGAAAGACCGAGCACCACTTTTCACCCAGCCACATGGCGAGCGCACGCTGCTGCACACACCTGGTTGGTGCTGGGGGCCGTCTCAAGCGAATCTTTAGACGACAAAATGTTGTTAATTGTTTTTTTTACACTTTTATCTGGCAACAAAATTGGCACTTTTTTTTAACAAGGAGTCATGTTTGCATTGACCACAATACCTGCAGTCGGAATGCAAACATAAAAACATAACTCTGATAATGTATGCACTGTCCTTGAAATTGATTGGTCCACACCCGAGACAGCTTTCCTTAGAGCCTAGTCTCACATGGTGTTGGACCAGATGACGCCAAAAGTGCGCATTTTGGCGTCATCTGGTCCAGATAAAAGGGTAAAAAAAACAATGATCATATTTTGCTACTGGCAAATGAGATTCCAATGGGGACAAAATGTTGCTCGCAAAAAAATTGCTGCTCGCTCTCACAACGCGACCGGTGTTGCTGAATGAACCCAAATCAATCGGCGTACACTTGCAGAATCGGAATATTTATTTATCGTGGAGGAATCCGATGAGCTATGAAGCTCTTTTAACATGTGCCCAGTAGTGGCAGGTAAGAACGTTACAACAACAATTCAGTGCAAACACATGATAGCAGTGCCCCACGTGACAACTGCATCTGTTTTTGGCTACGTTGGGTGGTGGAGGGTACACGCGTCTCTAATGTGCGTTGTAGCCACACACGATCTAACACAAATAGGAAAGCTATCATGAATGATAAAAAAACTAAAACATTCGTCAATGTATGTTGAACTTCTGAGCATCGTACGTAGCCGACCGTGCGAATCGGAGGTGCGGGGGGAAGGACAACAAACTAAACACAAGAAGCTATTCTAGAGAAATGAGTTTTCAATCTAGATGATTTAAAAGTGGCATAGCTCCAGCGGCTTCCTAGTATCGAAAGGGGAAGAGCGTTCCAGACGGCCGCAGAAGTGCATCTTAAAGTGCCGCGCGATGATGCGGTGACCACCGTCTTTGCTCGATGGGCAGGCAGAAGCCGCTGCTGCTGCAGCTGCTGCAGCAGAAGCCGCTGCTGCAGCTGCTGCAGCAGAAGCCGCTGCTGCTGCTGCAGCTGCTGCGAGGATGACCGGAGTGAATAACCACGTGTGGCCTTAAACGGGAAGACGTATTTAATAGACGACGTTTCGAAGGGGGTCAGCAGAGAGACAGAGCGGACGATGAAGAATTGGAGACTCCGCTGGCTCGAACCATGATGGGGTGGTGGGGGTCCTAACGAGAGCCACAGTTTTAGGGACACTGCGGTGTGGCTAGAACCATGATGGGGTGGTGGGGGTCCTAACGAGAGTCACAGTTTTAGGGAGACTGCTTTGTGGCTAGCACCATGGCACAGGTTGCTGGAAGGACCGATTGACGTTGGTGGAGACTTCACCTCGGAGCCACCCCCAGCCTCGCGAGGAATTGCATTCATTCTCCATGTCAAGTTCAAGTTCATTTATTAGGTATAGCCCTGTGAGCCATTCGGCTCTTGAATCGGGTGCAAACGCAACAAACAAAAAACAAAAACATGAACAAAAAACATCTTAAAGTGAATATGTGACTAAGTGCAAACAGAAATCCAAGAAAAGACGGCAAAATATTGCAGAAAAAACACCGTACACCAACGCTGTGTGCAAAAAGTCCCAGTGGGATGCAAGTCAAACAACAACAACAATAACAACCACAAGACAACTTAGATTAAGGCCATCAGTCTAACTCTGTACTACAACAAACAAACATGGCTAAACCAATACACTTTTCGAAATCACCAAAATAAAGCCATGAAAGCACTGCTCGTGAACTCAAGGGGGGCGTCCCCCCAGACGCAGATAAGTCGGCCGTTATGTTTGCTGGGTTGGCTTTGTTGTGAGCCCTTTGCGTTGATGCGTTCCCTTTCAAACGACGCCCCTCCGAGCCAAAGTCCAAACACAGACCCAACCCTGCTTAGACGCTCCCACCCGTTGGCTTTGACCCACCGGTAACCTCTTAGTTAAATGTGTGCCCTTTTAACAAATGCACCTGAATGCATTGGTCAATAACCACTGTATTGTGGCCTTACATAGAAAAAATATAATAGGCGACGTCTCGAGCAATGGTCCTTATTCATAGCGAATGTACTACGAAGGAGGACTAAAGTCGAGGCAAAGTGATTTGCTGCTCATAAAAGCTTTTAAGGGATTGCTTTTCAACTCCCGTTTACAGCCCGGCAGAGCCCGCGGCGAAACTACCAAATTCCTATGGCAGGGGCCGAGTCTATCCACAGGTCAACCGCTGTTGACCTTCCTCGCAAAGTGGCGACTCTTTGATCGATGCCGCGGGGAGGGAGGGAGGGATGATGGTGGTGGTGGTGGGCTGAGTCAAACCCCATGTAGGATGTGAACTCACGCCCAGTCTGATCGCGACCCGCTCCCTCTACCGCTGAGCTACCTGAACTGCAGAACACCTGAACTACAGAACACCTGAACTGCAGAACACCTGAACTACAGAACACCTGAACTACAGAACACCTGAACTACAGAACACCTGAACTGCAGAACACCTGAACTACAGAACACCTGAACTACAGAACACCTGAACTGCAGAACACCTGAACTACAGAACACCTGAACTGCAGAACACCTGAACTACAGAACACCTGAACTACAGAACACATGAACTGCAGAACACCTGAACTACAGAACACCTGAACTACAGAACACCTGAACTGCAGAACACCTGAACTGCAGAACACCTGAACTACAGAACACCTGAACTACAGAACACCTGAACTACAGAACACCTGAACTGCAGAACACCTGAACTACAGAACACCTGAACTACAGAACACCTGAACTGCAGAACACCTGAACTACAGAACACCTGAACTACAGAACACCTGAACTGCAGAACACCTGAACTACAGAACACGTGAACTACAGAACACCTGAACTACAGAACACCTGAACTACAGAACACCTGAACTGCAGAACACCTGAACTACAGAACACCTGAACTGCACGACACGTGCCCGTGTTACAGCCCAGCTGTCTCGTCAACAGATGACGCAGTATTTTAAAACAATGTGCTCCCCCAGTGTTATCCCGATGGATGTATTTCACAAGACACCCTGCAAGAAGCAAAGCGTAGCTGATGTTGAACCGAGAGCGTCCCAGTGCTGAAAGTTTACCACCGCATTACTCGATCCTAGATCAAAGGAAAAGATCCCCCATATAGGCTTTACAGACTGTAGGGGCAAGTGCTGTTAGCGTGCACCTATAAAGGCCGGCACGGCACACGAGGGGGTGGGTGGCCAACACCACGCCCGGCCGCCTTTGTCTCCCCCAGCGGCGAATATTTACACACCGCACCAGGTGCTCATTTGAGGTTGAGTCGACCTAGGGGGAGAGCGGGGGGGGGGGAGAGCGGGGGGGGGGGGGAGAGAGCGGGGGGGGAGAGCGGCCAAAGTAATGAGTGGTTATTATTATTGTTATTACACGCGGGGGAGAAAACCGAATTGCCCTGAGCAAAACAAACGCGTGCATGGTGGTAACCATCCCAGTGCTTCTCAACTAATTTTCAGAGTGGGTGGGGGGTGCCCACTTTCGCCGGTGAGACATCGTCAGTGTGAGCGAGGTTGCCGTCGAACATTTGAAACCATTTGTGGGGGGTTTGACAGCAGCAC